ATATGTTTTACATTTTATTGATTATGCCCACTTCATCATTCCACACTATGTAACAGTTTTTATTATTTATCTCTTAGTTCTTAGTCATTATTCTAACAATTTCATTTTACTTTATATTTATCTATTTTATTTTTCTAATAATTTTTTTTATTTTATTTTTTATTATCTTTTTTACCATCATTACTTATGTTTCTCATACCTTGTTATCTGGTTATTTTCTTAGCCCTGATGAAGGCCTGAACTTCAGGTCGAAACGTCGGCATATGTAAAAATAAATATTATAATTTATTTTTGCCTTCCTTTTTCACTGAACACCCCAACTATTCTTCTCTTCATTATCCACGACAGTCAACCAATTACCAATTATTAAAAATAATAAATAAAATAATTTAAAAATAAATGTTAAAATTATTTTTAAAAAATCAATAATAGGTTAAGAAATTAAAAAGATTTATATTTAATTTTTTAAAGCAATCTTTGTCCTCTACGAATCGTGATCTATATCATAGCTTTACAAAATCTACAATTTTTCATGTTTTAAAAAAAAGTTATCGGAAATAAAATAATATATTTTTTTTTATTTCTTAATGATATTTACAACTCATAGGTGATAAATATTCAGGACGCAGTCTTTTTTAAATTTTTTTTTTTATTTTTGTCAACGTTTCAACCCAAACATGTGGGTCATCTTCAGGGCGTTGTTTGAGCACTAAGGCTGTTCATGTACTGAAGTACCTCAGTACATGAACAAGTACAACATGAACAAGTACCTTGAGTACATGAACAAACTCAGTGCTCAAACCACGCCCTGAAGATGTCCCACATGTTTGGGTTGAAACGTTGGCAAAAATATAAAAACAATTTTAAAAAGACTGCGTCCTGAATATTTATCACCCATGATATGTAGAACAGTCGACTAACTTCCTTCAAGATATTTACAACTGTATTAAATAAATACATCTAGTAAATTTTAACATATGGATATAATAACATGAAAACACTTGCTGAGTAACTACCCAATGGTAGCACTCTAATGATATATTTACATTAGGAGATCACGTGGCCATCTTCTTTTCAGACGGCTCGGAGGGTTATAAGGAATTGAAGAGGAAGCAAGGTTAGAAACGAGAGGGTTGGGATGATTCTGAAGTTTATTATGGAAGGATAGGTTTCTGGATTGGGCCAGATCTGAAACAAAAGAAACATTAAGGTCATTATGGATGGTTTTATTTGTAACAAAGTAGGGAGGATTGAGGATTTTACGAAGGAATGGATACGAGAGGAATTCGATGGTTTAATGGAGCCCGATAGCTCAACTCCGTAAGTCCAAATAGGCCTTATTATAGTCGTGTATATGAGTCTTTTGTAATTAGTTGGAAGTTTAGAACGAAAATAATATTAAATTAACTATAGGAAATTCCATTATTCAACAATCAATTATAACTTTGAAAAATGCCCTCTTTCCTTTTTATTTTACTCCAGAGTCTTTCATTAACAGGGCTACTCAACTATATAATTGTAGAGATACTCACTACACTAAAATCCTTGGAGATGTCGGCAATCCATCAACACCCATCCCGGACTATCCATTTGCTAGACTATATAGGCCGGATCAAAAGACAAAAAGACATCATTAGGGTCCTTTTTATTGTAATTCCCCGGCGGCCTGGTAGGGCACTGAATAGGGCCATCATTAATTTCACTCAGCAATTAGCTTCACACTGGGCCGAATCCAGAATCCGTCTCCCTTAGAATTTTCATACAGCACGCTCTTCAACTAAAATGCATTGCTATCACAAATTTAAAAATTATAATAAAGATAAAATACAATTGTTCGACATATTTTACTGTGAAACAGTTGACAGTTTTACTTTCCTTTAATTTTAAATACGAGTGATGATGAAATATTGGTTCACATAAAGAATATAAAGTCATTGGTATGTGTTATATTTACGAACAAGATAATTGTCTTCCAGCCTTCAGGTCAAGGTCTGTAGTATGAATTAACATTTTATTTCTTTACAAATTACACTAAAAAGTTACTCTGTAAATGAAGTCTGTATAGTAAATCCACCCAAATATTCTCTCGAGTTGCCAAATACATAATTTTTAGTGATCTGTGAACACTATTATAAATGTCCTTGAGACAGATTGTAATATTTTTCAATAAATAAGCTGAATATCGAAAATACATAATTTTAACTTGAAAATTTATAAAAAAAGGAAATATTTAAATTAATTTACTTTCCCCCCGGGTACGTGAGACCCGTAAGCTTACCTAAGGCAACTTACACAAACAGAGCGTAAGCTGCGATGAAGCACTATGGCTCTGCATGATGCTTATAGCCCCCTCAGAGGTTTGGTCCAGTGTCGACCAGATTCACGGCAAAGTATATACCTAGTCCTGTCATAAATATTGGTACAAGGCAATACATACAGATTTTAACAGAATTTTTTTTTTTTTTTTCAAAAACTTTATTAGAAAATAAAATGTATATCTATAAAGAGTAAAAGAAATTACTCAAAATGTTTTCCTTTCGTCTTGAGACAGGCATTTAATCTCATGGCCAGTCATCAAGAGCAGCACGCAGCACTTCTTGAGGAAAGCTCTCAACAGCTCGGACCAGAGATTGTTTGAGGCTTTCCAATTTAGGGGGTGCTCTGTGGCATGCCATCCTCTCTAGTTCGGACCAAATCTGATAATCTAGTGGGTTAAGATCAGAGCTTCCTTAGGGCCAATCCGAGGCGAAGAAATATACTTTTACAGCCACTGCTGAGTTGACCTGGCCTTGTGAGCTGTAGCGGAATCCTGCTGGAAAACCCAATGACTTCCAGCAAACAGAGTATCATTTAGAGGCTTGGCAACAGGTTCCAAAATATCGTCCTGGTAGTTTTTAGCGGCTGTTTTAACTCCTTAAAAAAATGGAGCTTTGTGGGACCATTAAAGCAACCTCCATACCTAACCATCACTGAGGAAGGGTGATGACCTCTTGCCACTCTTCCAATGACTTCCTGGTCTTATTTACAGCTGTGTTCGTACACAGGATCATTTTGGCGGTTAAATTTGTCTTCAATTGTAAACATTTTCTCATTCTTAAACAAAATCTTTCGATGAAGACCATTGGTGTAACGGCCAAGGAGCACTTTTGCATCCACTATAATATTTTTAGAGAAGTGGTTAGCCTTTGTCTTGTCATTCTTCGAAATGCGTCTTGGAAGTGCCTAACGTCACTTTTTATTACGCGAGATATTAATCTGATAAAGATTCATGTTTCCCGAGACACGATTTACTGTTTTCTTATTGACTTTCATCTGATTCGAGCAGTTACTACTCTCATTGTATTTGCCGTTTTTACAGTGTGGGGGGGGGGAGGGAGGATCCATTCACAAGACTCGGCCCGACAAGGCCCGGTCAAGGTATTTCACATACAGAGAGGGTCTCGTAATATCTATTTATAGTGCATACGCGAACATACGCTGATACCCAAAGGTTTCAAAATCTTAAAAATCTCTGAATTACATTTTCCAAATTTAGTAAGGCCATCGCAGCTATTCAGTTTTCAATATCACCGCACTCCATGTTAACTGAAAAATACAAACTAATTGGGATTATTCTGACATGTAAAGAAAATAATCTGATAGAGGTAAGAATTATCTAAATAATACCCAAGGAAATAAGCAAAGTTCAACTATTGTAACAGTATTTATGTCAGAACTAGGTAGGCCTTCGTTGACTCTAAGAAGCCATGATTAATGGATCAAGACCAATTTGTTACTTTGAATCCGGAAGTAGCTTTTTTTTTTAATGTTCTCTCCTTTCTTGCCTTTTAGACTACACGGTTTTTTTTTTTTTTTGTTCGGTCCTGGGGAGAGGGCGGACATAAATGCCATAGAAACATAAAATCCCTTTTGGAACCGAGACGTGACCTTGTAATTATTTTATCAAGCTAGTACCTCTTTATTTGGTAGCCGGGCAAAGGCGGTGTTGTGCGCACCCGTTAGCCCGCTCGGCCACCCTGCAGACCAGACGTAAAGACACTTTCTTATTTGTTCTCCCCTTCCTTAACTTTTAGGATACAGAGGATTTTCCCCGGTCCTGGGAAATTATGGTGGGTTAAAATTCCCACCGGGTACCGGGTTTCAAACTCCCCAATATTTTTTGATCTGACTTCGGTTGTCAGGTCGGGCAACGCGCGCGGCTGTAAACACGCATTAGCCCACTCGGCAACCCCGCCGCCCGATGGTAAGTACACTGCCAGAATGGTCCCAAAGGCCCATATGTATATATATATATACACACACACACACACATATATGTATATATATGTGTGTGTGTGTGTGTGTGTGTGTGTGTGTGTGTATTAACCGGTGGCCGCTGCACCATGATCCGTAGAAAATTAGGCTACCGCAAGCAATAGGACTTCTGTAAGAAGACCACATCACGCGGCCAAAGATCTACATGATTGTGTGAAACAATAAAACAGGTTTAATAATGTCTTGGTAACAGTATCTTCGTAATTCTGGTTTAACTCAACTCGATGTTTAAGCAACATTTATTTATTTGTTTGTATGCCTCTACTCGCTAGGGTCACTCACACTTTTCATATTCTATTATAAAATCCAATACTTTTCAAGAAGTCCAGTAAGATTTCCACTTCTCTCTCCGCATCCTGCAACACGTCCCTGATATTCTCATGAATCTTTAGATTCTTTCGGATAATTGCATAATGTGTGCAATTCACGAGTATGTGGTTCACAGTTCTAAGAGAACCACACCTGACGCAAGTAGGTGGTTCTCGACCGTGGAGAAGGTAGCCATGCGAAAATTCGCAGTGACCAATTCTGTGGTTGGCACAGGATAATTCCCTCTCTTCTAGACCTCCTAAGTTTAAGTAATAATTACATTGCATAAATATGTTGTTTATTTTTTATGAAATCATTTATGTATAAAATGTAAACATGTATATATAAAAATAATTGTTATTGTTTTTTTGTTACAGTGGTAGCGCTTACGAGGGCCAATGGCAAAACGGGAAACGACACGGATTGGGGGTGGAGTCGCGGGGGCGGTGGATGTACCGGGGTGAGTGGACGCAGGGGTTCAAGGGGCGCTACGGCGTGCGCCAGTCCAGCACCAGCAACGCCAAGTACGAGGGCACCTGGGCCAACGGCCTCCAGGACGGCTACGGATCCGAGACCTACGCCGACGGCGGTGAGTACCATATTCATGTATTATAATAAATACAAAAGTAATAACAAAACTATAGCGACTGTTAAAATAGTAAGCAATAATAATGGTCAGGAAAATGCAGTCGTTAATAGGAAATGTTAATAACATAAGCAACGATACGGCCAACTATACCGACTACTAAACAGAAAATCTAAACTTTTCATTGAAAACAAGTTACCGATCTACAAGACAATACTGAAACCTATTTGGACATACGGACTAGAACTGTGCGAAACAGCAAAATTTTCTAGCATCAAGCGCATCCAATCCTTCCAGTCAAAAGTCCTTTGAACAATAGTCGATGCTCCTTTATTATGTAACCAACAAAACCCTACATCATGACCTCAACATCCCATTTGTCCAAGACCTTATCCCAGAAAAATTCTCCGAATTTCACCAGAACCTTACTTATCATCCAAATCCTCTTGCACAATCCCTATCAAGCACCACCCATCTCTATAATCGTCCAAGAAGGTTAAAACGGCAGTGGCCTCGGGACCTTTTGTATATATTGGAGTTCTGGCAAGGGCCAGATTCTCCACTCAAGACATGTGTGTATGTGTCTGAAGTGCTCTCGATCAATGTCCGCTGGTACCAGTACCAGTAATGCGCTTGAGAGATTAGATATGAGAGACCCTGCGGTTCTCCTTTAGTTCCCTTGCCTGATCGTATATAGGTATGCATGTGTTTTTTGCTTACTTTTAGTTATCTTTTTTTTAGGTTATTTTATTTTATTTATTGTATATACATTTGATTATTATTTATTATTATTTTGCTTCTGTTTAATTTATATTTTTTGTATATATAGTGTGAATGTTACCCTACCTCACTATAATATGTCCATATATATATATATATATATATATATATATATATATATATATATATATATATATATATATATATATATATATATATATATATGTCCATGCGACAGACCGTTGTAATACTCAATAAATAAATTTTTAAAAAATAATAACATAATGAGTCCTCTTTATTGTCATGAACTCTTCGAAACTTCGAAACGGAAAGCATAATAAAAACCATTAATGATTGCATTTTCTGTCTATTTTACGTCCTTATAATGATATTGTTTTCGTAATGTTCTAAAAAAAGCTTAAGTCATTCAAATGCCATTTAATGGCCTAATAACTATAAAACATTTTGTAAATTTAGGCATCATCGCAACAAAGTAATACTGGTGCAAATTAAAGAAGATACAACGGCGCATTGCAACTGCTCAGTCAAGACTAGAGGATGTGATGGTCGAGTATGCCGATACTGTGTACAGTGGGATGAGTAACGAAAAACTCGCGACATCGGCTAAAATTATTATTATTTTTTTATATAAATGCAAAAACTCGATAAACTGTGTTTTTGATGCCCTCTGTAATTCTCTAGAATATTTTCAGTTGCAGAATACATATTTTTTTACTATTTTTATTAAATAGTTCATCTGAAAACCTAGTCATTTTATCTAATTTCGCACGATTTGAACTGGTGGTTCATACTTTTTTTGTGAAACTTTACTGTCATTCTGTCATTCTGCTTAACTAGAAACATATATAATACTGTATAAAAATTGGTTTACTTCCAATGTTTTCCCTTTATTTATAACAAAAATAGGCCTTTTAAATCAAATATTAACAAATATCGCGATTTAAACCTCCGATATCCTCCGGAAAATAGATTTCTTTTAACTTTTTAGCAATCATTGCTAGGGAGAAATTCGTATTAATTTAAACCACCATGGTCCGTCTAAAGGTAGTTAAAATATATTTAAAATAATTTTTGTATGTATAAATGTCCGAATAATTTCTCGGTATGTACTAATATCTTCTATAACATGACATGCTCTCAAATTTATTTTTAACAATTATATTGATCATAAAATAAATGAGGATCTGTAGTTATTTGTTTCGAAAATATCTCAAACCAAATTAATAAAAATAAATTTACATTAAACATTAAATTTTCATTTTTATTGTTTTTATTTTCCCAATCTTGATAAGAAATAAATGCATATATTATTATTTTAACTTTATATAACCATGGTTTATGTTTGCTCTAATTTAGGTAAATAAACAAACGCAACACCGTTAAATGAAGTAATGTTTAAAATTAAATAAAAGTTTAATTCAATGGGTATCTGTATAATTAATACGGCCTCTAGGATAAAAACAACATTTATTTACTTGTTCCTCTAATATTACTGCATGTTAGTAATAAAACATAGCAGTTTCAATATCTAATCTTTATTCTTTTTAAATGTCATAATAATTTGATAAAGGATAAATTGAAACTGAGAGTACTTCGTTGAGCCTTTATGACTTGATCTGTATCAGTTATTCTTCCTATAACCTTTAAAACCATCCGGGGAATATAAAGACTATAAAACCATCGATACGGTGTTTAAAATTTTATTGTAATAAAAATGAAATAAAATGTTTATTATTTCATAAAAACTGTTGTAAAATGAAAATTTATAATTGATAAACAATATATTGTTATACTATTTTTTTGTTATTACATATAAATAAATTGTAACTATATTTTTTGTTTTTCTAAAATAAATGAATAAATATTAAAATAACGATTATATATAGTAATATAGAAAGTCGTGATAAATAAGTATCTAAAAAGTTAGTTTATTGTCAAATTGAAAAATTCTCGGGTTTAAACAGATACCGAAATTTTCTATAGTTTTCATTGAAATTTTCTGATTTTGACGTCATATTCGTATTCCTTGACATTTACAACATAATATGACAAATGTAACATAATTTTCAAGTTATAGACCCATGTCCACGAAAGCCCGCCATTCGTCCCACTGTGCGGTGATCACATACCGTTCTGCGTTCAATTCCCACCTGGTCCAGCAAACAATACTATAATTATACACACAATATTACTTTTAATATTATAGAAAAGCAGTAAAATTATTGTAATATTTAAACTTCTAATTATAGTCGTTTAATAAAAAAAGTGTGAAAAAAAAATAAATAAAACGATAAGGGAAGCAATTTTATATAAAATATTGACCAGAGAGGTCAATACAAATAATTTATAGAAAAAAAAAACACAAAAAACAGTATTTTAATTTTAAAAAAATACTTTCAAAGTTTCTCACCATTGTCCCTTAGTGCCTCGTTATATAATCACTCGTACTTTTTCCAATTTTAAAAATAAGGGCATAGTAGAAACTAGTAGAAATCTAAAAACAATTTTTTTTTTGTCTAAAAATAATGTTTAATAGTTAACATGTTTTATAATACTCACTATGATCATAGTTATCCATAATAATGTAACTAATTATAGGCCATTGACACCAATAGCACGTGATAAAATTGAAAGTCAAAGTGAAAAGTTCTGATACGTCAATTAAACAAACAACGATATAGGGCTTATCGTTAAACCCCTAAATAAACAACTTTCCACAGCTAAAACAAATCCTCTTAATTCAGGTATATAAAAACAAATCTGATTTAATTCATTCACAATATTTGGATTTAGAGTATACCTAATAGCCCAGGTTTTAATATCACTGGTCTCAATTGAAACATTCACGTGAATGTAATTTAATTTATGCATTTAATGACACAAACCCTTTTATATATTTACTAGGTAATAGAATAGAAACATTTTATTGGCTTATTATACATCGTAGCCATGGAGTCTGGCCCATTTAGCGTTAGTAGGGGTTAGTTTTATAAGTAGAAGAAAATAAGTAAATAAGTATAGCATTAGAAGACAAAAATAAAAAATTTTTTATATAACAAAAGTCATAAATACTTTCAGTAATTCAAATATTTTAAATATGCCCATATTTTATATAGTCCAAATATATTTTATAACCCAAATATTTTTTCTATTTACATATAAATATATTTATATAATAAATATCATGAATGAATAAAAATACATGTGTACTAAAAAAATGTATTATGCAGAATACAACCTAGCAAAACAAATGGCAGAGATCTTAGGATTACAACGCACATGAAGAATCGTACAATTAATAATAATCATGTTTACAAGGCACCCAAATTTTGAATAAATATACGTACGCTCACGCACATATGAACACATGCCTGACCTAAAGCCGAGGGTTTGTACTCGTATTGATAGAGTCACAAACACTTAATAATAAAATAAATTTTTTTGTTCAACTGGTGAATGTTTCTTATATCCAACACACACTCCAGTGATATATATTTATTATTCATGCACAATATTCTCATTTCGCAGATGAAAACTTCAACAAATTACATAGTAATTTAATTTTATGAAATTTTTATCAAAGACTTTTTACAATAAACCTTCAAAATGTTTGTCCATTTGAAGATATTAATTCTGGAAATGATTGTTATTCGAAGGCATAAATATTAGATATCATTACAATAAATTATAAATCTTTCTGTTAATATTAACATTAAAACATCGTGTATAACAGCAAAATATAATTTAATAAAACATTATTAGAACGGTATGTACAAATAAACAGGAGTGAACAGATTCATCCATTATATAGACCCTTATTGTTTTTATAAGTTAAGCACCATATAGATACCGCCAATTCTTTTAGCTGTATTTAACAGAATTCTCAAACCTTTATACATCTTCTCTGTAACCTTATTTATCGCCTCAAAGATTAATAATAGAATTAAAGTACTAAAACTAAATAACAAAATAAAAACCTTTTATTTATTTATTTATTTGCTCTTCTTTGCCTTTGGGCAAAATGGTTGACGGCAACTTTGCAGGATTTGCAAATATTGTCAATTAACACCTAACGATTATGTTAACATACGCGTCATGTGCTCCTTTCCAGCTGGCCGCCATCTTCTTCTTCGCCTCCTCTGTCGGACGGTCGAACAGTGTGGCCGATCACCGATCTAGGAGGATAAAGACAACTTTCAAAATATGAGGAATGTAATATATATATTCTTTTATAGATAGTTCGTAACCAAAAAAATGGCGTA